ATATTAGGAAAAACAAACTTAAGTTGCATGAGAAGGAAAATGAATAACAGTCCTTAAGTGCTGGAGTGAGAACAAATAGATGTGTCTTGTAGAATTTCTTCAACAGCATTTTTTAATTACCTCTCTTCAAGGCATATTTTAAGTGGACTTGTAACGGTAGCTTGAAGTGTAAACTGGTAAGGGTTCCAGTTGTTGGTTGAGGCCTGGCTGCAGAATGAGGAATGTGTGATCTGCAGAAGTAAGGGCGTAGCTGCCCATGAACAGAGAGATCACCAACACACTCGCATCTCATGTCTGCCTTGCAGAAGTTTACTCCTAGACTGCATTGTATCAGGTAGCTCTTGATCATAAAGTGCTCCAAGTGCTTGTGGCTAAAACAACAAAATTATTTCAGAGGTCCTGGGCATCAGGAACTCAGTCAGATTCTGCTCGTCTGGGTCTGTTGCAATTCTCAGAGGCCACAGTAGTCTACTGCTAGGCTCAGCTGGAAAAGATTTGCATCTTCAGTTCCTTGTGAGGTGTGTTTTTGTTGTTGTTGTTTTGTTTTGTTTTCTGTTTGTTGTTGTTGTTGTTTCTCCTAAGACATCAGTTGCTTCCATACTTCTTGGCTAGAAGACTCCTTTGGTTGCTTGCTTCATGTTTCTCTCCACAGAGAAGCTCACAGTATGGCTCATTGCTTCGTGCCCCCAAAAAAGAGAATATTAGCAAGAAGGAAGTTACAGACTTTTGTAACATAATCAGAGATGTAACACCCCACAGCTTTTACTGTGTCCTATTCATTAAAAGCAAGATGCTAAATTCAGCCACTCTCAACAGCAGGGGATTACAGAAAGGAGTTAGGGAATTACATACCTGCAGGCAGGGAGTCTTTGGGAACCCTGTCAGGGCTGCCTACAAGTATGATACCAGTATTCTCCTCCTGTGTCTGAATGATAGACTTATAATGAATTGTGGTATGGATGTTACATACATTTGCAATGCTAAATACAATGCAATTATAAGCACTAATTTGGGAGGACTTGAATATGAGCCTTCTTAGTTACCATGTTGGCTAAGTGTTCAGAGAAGCTCATCTGCACCCCTGTAGTCCAAAAGTGGGTTTTCAGAAATAGATGACATTAGGGCTTCTTTCTGAGATCTGAACAGCATGAAGACAAGGTGCCCTCATAGCCTTATTAGCATGGTATCCCAATACAGAGAAACAGAGAGCTACAAGCTTATATTTCATTATCTCTTGCCAGGTTTTGATCGGTGCTTTGCAGCTCATTATGGAGAAAGGACCCTATGGATTGATTTATAAAGTTGTTATTAAGATAATAGAACGGGACATTTTCCTTGTTTTAATGGACTCCATGTCTATACTGCCAACTTCCTGACTCAACATGTACATTTTTAGCAGTAAAGGAGTACAGTATCTTTACTATATATATATATATATATTTATATGTAATATATATATCACATATTACATATTGCATATATATAAAAGAGTAAAAGAGAGTGAATTTGAATTTGTGGTAACTGTTTAAAGTATTCTTCATTTTAATTGAAATTTTTGATTAGACAACCCGTGTATCTTTATAGGAAAAATTTAGGTCTATATTTTCTTCATCTATTACATTTAAATACCTCTAATTAGTTGCCAGTGCTCTGATTTGGGGAATTTAGGGATGAAATGTTTCAATTATTTTATTCTAGTTGCTATTGATTGACTTCTGGAAAAATCAGTGAAGTCTCTGATGAAAGTCTGTCAAATGAACTTTTATTGACATGCTACTCCAGGCAAAGCCAACACTAACTCCTTGTTCAAAGCAGTTTGGCTCTTCATGTGACCCTCGGTTATACACGGGCCACTCTGGGTGCCCTAAGATGTGGCTCATGTTTATGTCCTAGCTGGAATAGGTATAATATAAAGGCAGGAACAGTATGTAAATAAAGATGCTGGCATGCAGAAGGAATTTTTAAATTATTTGAGATGATGGGTGAAACTGAAGCAATATATTGTGCATCTTGATAACTGATGCCTATCAATTTCCAGTGTTGACTGTTAATTTTGTAAAGTAACACCAAGAAATTGTATATGTACATATAAAGAAGTTATAATATAGATGTAAAATTACATTTGCATTTTCTTTTAACTAAGATAATGTTGATCTTTACACAGTGATTTTTTTTCCCCAGAGCCAAGGGCATTAATATTACTTACGCCTTCCTACCCCAAAGCCAGGTTTTTATTCCCTCACTTCCATCCTTTGGCTGTATCTTTGCTCATAAGTCATCCTGAGAAGATTATTTTCTTTCTAAATTTACTTTTGGGAATATTACATACTCGAATTCTTCTGTTATTTCATGTTTTAAATGCTCACTCATCTGCCTTTTGGTTACTTGAGATTTGTAAAACCCCTTTTTGTTACCTTATATCTTCCGATATTACGAATGATAAACCATCTGTATTTTGAGTAGTATAAATGTGTCACACATCTGTCAACTGTGGGGTGTGGGGTGAAGAAACCTTGAAATTTAACATAAAGTAAAGCCACACCCTTATTTTTTTTCAAACTTCCATAAGAATTGTAGTTTTGTTGATATGGATTTTTAAAAATCATTTTTTGTTTTCCAATATAAAGAAAGAATCCAACCTGCATTGACCTGGCAAACGTCGTCTGTTTTGGCTGTTGGGGTTCGAAATTTACTGTGTGTGCTGAGGCCAGAGATTACAGAGTTAACCCATTCACTATAGTCTGTACCTGCGCTCACATAAATAATCTTTGCTCATATCTTTTCCTAAGGATTCAAGTGTAATAGCCCAACAGGAACACTAGGCCTCAATCACATTATCCTCTTTAAGGCTTTTCTGGTGATAGGAGATGACCTAAGTAAGGGGGAAGACTGATGGGAATACTGGTGGGGAAGACTGGTCTTTAATTTATATATGAATGCATATGATATTTTTAATTCACTGACAAATGAGCTGTCCCTTAATTTAGGCTTATTGTCCCTCCTGGTGAGTATGTGAGATAACTCTCTAGGTTTTATCTTGACTTTTTTTTGCCTGAGGGCTCATCATTTTCTTCTGTTTAGTTATTCCAACATAGCATACAATAATTTTTATGTGCTGGATCTATTTCTCATTAGTAGATTCTGTAAGACCTCCACTAAATTCTCAAAACAATTAAACATTTGATCATGCTTTGAGCCTGCTTATCTTGCAATGTCATGTGTAAAATCAGTTATTTGCCTGTGTCAAATCAAGTTCAGGAGCTTGAAGCGAGTTCATTTAAGCTCAGAAATCTACAGAACAGCAGTGCAAATATCCACATGTCACTTTTCCATACTACCTCTCATGAATAAGGCATGCACTCGTTCAAGAACCCATGGTTTTCCTAATGAATTGGAGTCACCTATTTGTGCTGTGTTTGTGACATTCACATTTGCAGTTGGGGTCTATAGGAAGGACACCATTTCCTGGATCAAACCACAAAGTACAAATATTGTGCCCTAAATAACACACTAGTTACTCTAAATGTCAGTAGAGGGAGTGTTTCCGACTTTGATTTAATGAAAGCTTACAGCAAAGCCAGCTGTTAGCACTTCTTAACTGCTTGTCAGTGGGGACCAGGGCAGATGAGGAGGGTTAAAAACATCTTTTCTCTACACTTTTGTCTTAAAATTTAAAGAGATTCAACAGGTGTTGAGGAATGACACTTGGGGGTCTCTTACTCCTTGAAGTCTTTTAGGTGGTGAATTTCTGAGTTCTCCACAGAATTCAAACAGCTTTAGTTATTTAGCTATTAGTTATTTAGTTAACATGGCAAATTACTTGGGAGTCTGAGTCCTGAATCCACTCCCTTGCAAAGTGAGCATATTGTTTTCCAGGTTCCCCATGAACACTGAAACAAAAATTAAAAATAAAAGGTAGAGAATACACGGTAAATGCTAGTCTTCTTTTTGTCACTTTGGGTATTACCAAACTAATTTTAAGCCATGTGTGTTTTGATTGATGTCATCTGCTTTTTCTGAACAAAAAACCACTTGAAGCAAGCTCAAGGGAAGAAAATATGCCACACTCATTTTTATAATTTTTGTCATTGCTAGAGTGCATTTGTAAACACATGTGGTTGCAAAGAGTCTTACCACCCTTGGAAATCCCTTTCACATTATGCTTGAATACTGAGAGGAGGTAATCTTTCAAACGTGGAGAAAGTTTACAATCTTATTATCTTGAAGAGGAGAAGAAAGTTTCTTCCTCACATGATTTATAACTTGAAACATGTTGTCATGTTTTGGTAAGCCCGCTTTATTAATTCCATCCTTCTCTGTGTCAAATTATTATTTTTTAAGTACCATTGAAACATAGTACTTTCTCAATAGCATATTATTCTTCTAATAGCATGATGGTGGTTTGCGGGGCTCGAGTTTAGTCATATAGAAAGTGGAGCCAAGTTTTGAGTAAAGCCTATAATTGAATTACCTACAGAGCACTGACAGACAAGCTTTCAAGATGAACAAAGCTTGCTTTCCCCAGCAGAAATCTGTCATGTTTAAGTCTGCCTTGTAACTATCTATTATTGGTCTTGGCCAGTGTTCTTACTGTGAGACTCTGGTGTACACCTTTTCCTGCAATCTAGAAGGGACAGCTCATAAAGCAAAAGAGCTCAAACATTATTCTCTTGTTTTAGAGAAAATTGATAACAGATCATGTTAAATTGGAATGCCTTTGAAATAAAAATCCAAAGTATTTTTTTCATAGATTACCCACATTCTTGCACATTCTTTCTTTATTGTATTTAAGAAAAAGAAGAAGAAGATAGGGATGTGACAATGGTCCTTTCTATAGCCCTGTTAGATCAATCTGAACAGTATTTGTTTTAACTTCAGACAAGAATTAAAGTAGGTTCCCATTGTTCTTGAAAGTGTATTGTAGACATGTATATGGAAAAAAACAAAGAATAATGGGTTATTGTTCTCTCTCTCACTCTTTCTCTTTCTCTTATCCACAGCCTCTGCAATCCCAGATAATGGAAGAAGGTCCTGCCTAAAGCTCAAAGTCTTTGTGAGACCAACAAGTAAGTTCACTCAAATGAGCCTCTGAGGCCCCTTTCACCAGGCATGCTTTATCATGTGGTGTGGTTCACAGCAGTAAAACATTTTGTTTTTTAATGTTAAATCTTGTGTGGTATATGTTTTGTATATCAACATCCATGCTTTAGTTTTCATCATATTTTTCTCATCATTCTTCATGATGCTTTTATTTTATTTAAGTACACAGCAGTTGCTAACTTGTTGTTTCTTAGGCTGTTGTACGTGCACAGCAAAAGGGAACAATATTGGCATTTGGATACATGCCATTGATTGTCAAACAATCTTTGCATACGTAAAAGAAAAAAAGTAGAGAGAAAGAAAAAAAAGAAAGAAATGGGAGTATAAAGGTGTCTTCACTAACATATTTGGCTGTTATCTCTATTTTTGTTATAGATAGCTGTATGAAAACTATAGGTGTTCATGATCGTGTTTTCGATGTTAACGACAAAGTAGAAAATTCATTAGAACCAGCAGGTTAGTATGCTTAGAGAATCTCTTTTAACAAATGCATCTATCTCTCTGGAGCTTCAGTACTTTTTTTCCTTTCTTCCTCTCTGCATGTTTGCATGGTAGAGTTGTTCTGCTTTGGCCCACTGCTAGCAATGCTAATAGTACTTATATTCTATCTCATCCTCCCGTATTTTCATGTAATGCATGTTAGATAAAATACCAGTTGTTTTTTTTTTGTTTTGGACATGGGTTGCATCTAATACAATATCCTGACACAGAAGCCCCATGCAGATGTTGAAATCTCACTACCTTTTACCACATCCTCAGAGCATGCTGGTCACATTGTGACTGAGAAGAGTCTAGTTTTCAGATGAGTCAGAAAACATTTCTAATGTACATATTTATAAAATTTTCTTTTAATTATCAAATCCAAATCTGTGGATAATAGAAGATCATGCACAAAATAGCAACTAATTCAATGCATTTAGTGTTCTCTAGAAATTCATATCCATCATGGAACTCACCTAAAAAAAAAAACCTTCACATTATTTCACTATCATTTGTGCTGTTGTCAGTAGCAATTGGTTTGGAGAAATATGCTTAGATTGTCACCACAAATTCCCATACCTTGCAGACTAACGCAAAATAAGTGGGATTTTGTTTGTTTGTTATTTTGTTTTATGTGCTGGTACTAGGGCTTGAACTCAGGGCCTTGTGCTGTCATTGGACTCATTTGTTCAAGGCTTGTGCTCTACCACTTGAGCCATAACTCCATTTCCAGTTTGGCGCTTTTTTTTTTGGTAGTTTAATTGGACATTAGAGTCTGGTAGACTTTTCTGCCCAGGCTGGTTTGGACCTTGATCCTCAAACATCAGACACCTAAGTAGCTAGGATTATAGGAATGACCATCTGTGCTCAGCCAAATTAAAATTTAAGGATAAGCAAATTATTTATGTTACTGACTTTCTAACTTTCTACACTTTCTAAACTTTCCCATCACTGTGAAGAAAAATAATATCCCTAATAGTATTCTAAAATCTAAACATTTACGTTTGTGGCATGTGGGGAGATAATGACAACCTATAAAAAGTGTCCATTTGGTTATAAAGTCAGTCTGGTCATTGAATGCAACTAGACTGGATGCTTATGTGTGGAAGCCCTCCATCCACTGTTGAGTGAAGAGTCTGCCTGAAAACGCCCATGTCCTCTCCCCATCCCTTTTCCTCCATCCCCCCCTACTGAAGATGTTTAGACATTTCCTTACTCACCTTCCATGATGACCATGTGGAAGCTTAAGGGAAATAAAATTACTTTCTTTCCACAAAGAGACTTGAGCTCTTTCATATAAAGATTTCCATCCATCCCCCCTCCTCCCCCACATACATACTCACACTGTTTTTTGGTCTTTTTCTTATGTTTCTAGAAATTAAAGGGTTTCAAGATCCACTTTATCCTCTGAGTATTGTTACAGGAATAATGTAGTCAGTGAGCCTAAGGGAAACTTATCCTGAGTAAATGCAGTGCCTCAGGACATACAATAGCTTCTACATTGTAGCTGACAGGAAGACTTAGGGTGTTTTTTATTCCCCCCTCCAAGCATTCTTGTTTTCCTAAAGCAGGCATCTAACCCAGAGCGCAAATGAGAGAGGTGTGTACAATGATCTTTCAAAGACTTTAGTGGCTCCCCAGAAATCAGTTAGGCACTTTGGGATGTTGCAAGGAATGAGTGCTGACACAGAGACATTTTAATTGTGTTCTGGAAATCTGGAAGCATTACTGTGACTTTTCAAGGTACCAGACTCCTCACAAGCGTGAGGTTGTAGCCACCATAGTAGCAGCAAGTTCAATGGGAACTCTTCTAAACCTCACAGTCTCCACTCTTCCTCCTGCAACTGAGAACACTTTCCCAGTTACACATGCCCAGGTTTAACATTCACATCTCTTGGCCTCCATTCCATATTAGTATTCAAGTAGTATTCCTTTACTGTTCCTGAAGGCAGAGATAGTCAGAAAGAAGACTTATTAACTTTGTGAATAAGTCATAAGTTGAATGACCAATTAGGTGGGACTATGATTCTTAATTCACATTTTTCAAAATATGTTCAACATATCTCCCCCATGACCTTTATTTCCAGGTAAACACCTTGCCTGTGTAGAGAACAGGAGGCTGCTTAAAATATACGAGGTAGCAGTTTTTCTCTGGCAATGGAGAGGCACACTGAGGACTGTTCTGCTATTAAGAAAATTACATTTGAATTCAACTAATGATAAAATGGAGGATAATAAGATATTTTCACACATGAACACTTTTCAATATCTTTTGGAAACAAGATCTTTTTCACAGTGCATTTGAAGGTAGTAGATATTTGCTCACGTGTAATACAACATAGCTAAGTTGTATGTCCACTTATGTGTGTACACGTAGCTCTTTGAGTTAGTTGTGACTGTGCTTAAGAGCTTCCTGATGAGCATCTCCACTCTGAAAGTGAGACAAAGTTGAGCCACAGTCTGTGGAAGTTTGCATAGGATTCCACATTTGTACTTCATCCTATTCCTTAGGAAATTCAGTCAGACTTAAGACCTTGCCCATACTGGTGATTGATTGAGCTGGTATATAGTCTCCTTTAGCCAGCTCTGTGAGTAGACACAGACTTTATGAATCCAGCAAGTCTGAAAAGATCCCACTGCATGTATTCAGCAATGCGTACTAATTCACCTGTCTCTGGAATGTATTTGTCTTTTTTGTTTGCTTGCACATTCTGCCTGCCAGTCTCCTATCATCAGGGATGCAAGATGATCTCAGGACAGACATATGTCACATTACATGCTCCACAATATTTCTAGTGCTATATTAACCACTGAAACACCCATGTGGTAGAATCCTATACCCAGGAGACAAGACTTGATTTGGATTCTGAAGAGGAGCATTTATTTCTACCAAGTCATGTTCACTCATACCAGTTTTACAAATCCTCTCATCTTTAGCTATAGTTTCCATTGGAATAGATTTTGCTTATGAATTCGTCCTTAGAATTCTGAAATTGCTCAGATTTACCTGAATGATGGCTTCTTTCTCATCTCACTCTTAGCAGGAGGGAGAGAGCACAGAATCCCACCATCATTGAGGCCCTATTTGAATCAAATGACACTTTGTAGAATCCTGATGGAGAATGCAAGGTTGCAGAAACAAGAGAATTATGATGTAATAGAATAGATTTTCTGTTTGGGGGAAAAGATAACATATATTCTTTTGTTGCTTCCTAAAAGGCTAATTCCAAAGATTGTCCATGATTAAGTAGACTGAATGCTACATTCGCCTAATGCCTTATATAGATGAAAAAAAAAACAACCTTCCTTTACCTCTTGTGCCAGGTGGGCCCTTGATGGGCACCTGCAGGGGACAGGAGGCGGAGAAGCAGTTCCCCCCATGCTGACACTGAGTGCCCGGGTGTTGCTTACACATCCTTTAGTAGTATACTTCCAAGCAACTCTCGGCGCTAGATTGGTGTAGCATGCTATTAAGAATAAAGCGGAGAAGAACCCAATAGGTGATATCATTTCCGGTGTATAAATATAAGTGATGTTTTCAAGTGAACTCTGGAATCCTCTGGGTTTATGGTTCTTTCATAATTAAGCCTGAAGTGCTCCATTGTTTTGATTGACACCATATTGGTGCTCTTAAGAATATGATTTGGATTTTAATTTCAGGGCTGCTAAGGTCCTTTACTTCTGCCTCCTATTAACAGCAGATTTAATTACTACATTAGTGAGGTTGAAAAGAGCAGAGAAAAGATAAGGGTCTGCAAGTAGTTGGCTACATTTTGCAGGACTTCCATCTTTTTTCTCTGCATCACTTACCCTCTCATGCTTGCTTCCTAACTTTTCAAGTCTCCTAACCTAAACCCACTCCAGCCAGGTTGCTTAATTGCAGGAAGGGGGAACACATGAGACAAAAAGGATGCAGCAGATTCTCTATCAGGACCTGCTGAAATGCTAGCAGCCCTCCAGATCAGAAGACTGATGGCTGAGAAAATGTATTTCCTAGTGCCCATGAGGAAGAAACGGGGTGAATATCCCGAATTGAGGACTGGCTCGTGAGCCTAAAAATAGGTCACTTCAGGACAAATGATAGGGAGTGTGACTCTACCCTGTCACATAGGACTATATAGAGCCAGGCATGATGGCTGATGCCTGTAACCCCATCTACCCCAGGAGGCCGCTATCAGGAGGACTGACATTGTAGTCCAGTCAATGGGCAAATATTAGTAAGAGATCCTGTCCCAAATAAATCAGGAGTGGTAGGGCATATTTTTAATCTTCGCTACCCAAGAGGCATAGGAAGGAAGACCATGGTGGGAGGCCAGCCCTGGACAAAATGGCAAGATCCTATCCAAAAAAATAACTAAAGCCCAAAGTGCTGAAGGTGTGACTCAAAGGGCAGAGTATCTGACTGGCAAGCATAATGTCCTGAATTCAAACCCCATTACTTCAAAATAAATAAAGTATATAAGTAATGGATAATTAATCCATTAAGAGGCCCAAGCCGGGCCACAGGGGGATATTTAGAGATTATCTTTCGAGGTCTACCTGAGAGCAGCCATTAGCATCTCACATTTATTGTTCTTTCCGATTGACCATTGAGTGAACCCAGATGGCAGTGGAGCTCACAGAGGAAGTTCATGTGATGCTGAAATGAAAACTGCACCAAGGCTCACTTGTGGGTTCTCAGATCCTGTTCAGAGGTCATTTCATCTAAAAGCCCAAGTGAGGCCAGGTGGAAGGAAGGAGATGGGCCTCACTGGGGAAGAAAGAGCACAGTGCATGGGCAAGCCTCCAGCCTATCTTTGGCCACTAATTACTGCAAAGTTCCCATTTCCCAGTTAAGCCCGTTAATCGGGCAGATCAGGGAGGCTATCCAAAGTCAGAGGCAGCCTGGTAGAACACTTTATAGCTAAATAAAAGAAGCTTAACTCACTTAATCCATTTTATTTAGAGGAAAATTTGCATCCACACTGATAATTTATATGCCAAGCTTCAGCCTGATAAAAATAAGAATAGTCAAGTTCAAGTAATTTAATCCTGAAGATGCAGAGCTTATAATGAAAATAGCACCATAATTGATTCCTAATTGTAGGCAAACCAGTGGCTATTTTTTAAAAATATATAGTTGACATATATATATATATATATATATATATAGTTGATTTATATATAGTTGATTTAAAATAGTATTGTTTTGACAATTAATTTTCCCTGTTGGAAAATACATCCAGGCACAAAGCAGACCAGGCATTCTACACTAATCCTATGAAATGGATAAAAAGAAGAAAATGAGTTAGTCCCTCCTGGTGAATTACTAATGTGTCCACATAACTGCCTGTGGCCCTAACCTCTTCTAACATGTTCCTTCCTTCCCTGTGGCATCACAAGTTGGTGCAACATGTATCTGACCACTGGCAAAACAGCACTGGCTCAAATGGCAAAGGTTACAGTCTAGGCACAACCTTTTTTGTTGTTGTTGTTGTTGTTTTGCCCCCTTCCATTTTAAAGGGAAGTATTAATACTGTGGAGACAGACCAATTGTCCCAGCCTCTCCTTTGTTTGCTGTAAATAATGAGTGATTATGCAGACATGAAAGTCAATGGTGGCACAAGGTTCATTACACTACTTTGCAGAGGGTGGTGGGGTCTATTCACAGCAGGCTGCTGCAAGAGGGTTATTAACAATGTGGAATCTCATTGGAACGTGTGCTTTCTATTTGAACAGATGACACCGTACATGAGTCAGCCGAGCCATCCCGCGGAGAGAACGCGGCACAGACACCAAGGATACCCAGTCGACTTTTGGCAATCCTACTGTTCTTCCTGGCAATGCTTTTGACATTATAGCACAGTCTCCTCCCGTCACCTGTCACAGAAAAACACCAGGGTCTTGGAACACCAGAGATCCACCTAACTGCTCATCCTAAGAAGGGATTTGTTATTGGTTTTTGGCAGATGTCAGATTTTTTTTTTGTTGTTTTCTTTCTTTCAGCCTGAATTCTAAGCAACAACTTGGAGGGGGGTAGTGGCTAAACTAGATGCCACCTCCTTCACCACACCCCACCCCACCCCTATCCCTGGCCTTTGACTTTTCTCACCCCTTCCAAATTAAATGGACTCCAGATGCAAATGCCAAATTGTCTTAGTGACACCAGTGGGTTCTTCAGCTCCTGTGCATTCTCCTCTAAGAGCTCAGCTCCGTTGGTGCACTGTGCCAGCGGCGTATGGACATGGAAGCGTAGTGGCAGATGTGGCCAATGATGGCCAAGCCCGGGAGGGTTTCACTCTCCTATACAATATTTATGCCTTCTCATTCAGGACTGCAAGATGATCATACAGGGCATCATGTCACCATGTCAGGTCCAGAGGGGAGGTATTAAGAATAGACACAATATTACACCATTTCCTCTAGGAGCATATAGATGAACAGGCTTCTGAAAGGTTGAGACACTGGTTTTATTTTATTTTATTTTTTAAAATATGACTGTCTTAAAGCATTCTGGACAGTGAAATGTGTGATCTGCAAAAGAAGCCTTGTTATTTTTTTCCCCCAGGAGGCAGGAAGGGTACAGGAATGCTAACCCAGAGCAAGTGTGAAATAAAGAACACTATCTGTTCAGTGGAGGTGGGTATGTGTGAGTGCCTCTATTTTGTTAGTGACTGGGCAGTACACACCAGATTTTTTTTTTTCCTTTTGAATACAGATCACCATGGTGCTACAATTTTTTTTTCTTCTTAGGAATTCAAAGAGGCATTTTTTTTTTAATAAATAAAGTGACCTTCCCCAAGGCTGACAAGCCAGGTTTGATGAGTCCAGAGTGGAATAGCTTTGGCTGCTCCTCTGGGGGCAACAGGTACCAAGAAAAGGATGTCAATGGACAGAGGAGAAGTGATTTGGCTTTGCTGGAGCTCCAGTGTGCCGTGGCCTTTCCCCTACTCCCATCCCAATGCTCACATTTTGCTCTACACTCCGTGATCACAGGGGACTTAGACACAAACCCCTGTTCCCAGGAGAGTCAGTCAGCACTACGTGGGAGGGTGAAAGGGAAATTTGGAATAAAAAATTCCAAAGCTTGGAATAAAAAAAAAAAAATTCAAGTGTTGATTTTATATTCTTTCCCTTTCTGACACAGCCTGAAGCGTAGAGGGAACGTGTGTTTATCTGTGGGAGATAAACAAGATGGAGTCCCAAAGACTTTAACAAAATATTTTTTTAAAAATCCACTAGAATAGAAAATACATTATTTAGATATACTTTATGCTGAGAGTGAGTATATATGCTTGTCCTATTTAAACTTGTGAGAAAAAGTGGTATCCCTTGATACATTTAGAACTATGGGGTGGGGAGGGGCTATCTTGTTTCATTGTAGGGTGGGGCAGAAGGAGAAGAAACACAGGATGACCCTGTTTAAAGAATCTTAGCATGGCCAACAAGGGACATTTCCAGTTGATTACAGGAAATGCAGGCCCTGGGGTTTCTGAGTGGAGCTCTCATGAACTTGAATATCCAAAGCCTAGACGTGGGAAAGTGTCAGAACAGTGGGAGCAAAAGCAGTCTAGCCTTTTTCATTTCTATTGCAGCAGGACAATAGAAACCATGCCTTTCAACATAAGTCAACAAATGCAAGGGTCATGTTAAATATGAAAATGGAAAGCATTCCAACAGAAATAAAGGGTTTTATATATTCACTTTTTTAAAAAGATATATATGTAAACAAAAAATGAAAGGGGGATCATATTATGGACAGACTTCATAAATGGGAATTTGCTTAGAATTGTGCAGTTTCGAATTAGAAAAATATGTGAATGAAGGCGGCTGTCAATGTACTGCACCCAGGAGAGTTATACACATATTGAAATGTAATCTGGGCTTATCTGATATATTTAGAGTGGACATGAATACTGAGTCTGCTCTCACTGAGAACCAAGTCAGTGGGGCTGCCAGGCTGGAGGGTACGAGCATCTCTCTTCCACCAACATCAATGACTTCTCCAGAGTGGCAGAGTCTTATCACAGAAGGCACCCACCATTTCACTGAAACAAAAGTTCATAGCATTTGATTCCTTTTTGATTTATTTATATGCTCAGTACTCTCAGTATTATCCAGAAATACAATTTTTTTAAATTAATAGTTACAGGCTTTTTGGTCCAATGGGATTTGAGTAGAGGGGGAAAAAAATCACCTTGTAAAATGGATCAGTAGTCAGAACCAAAATTATATTGCATGTTCTATAATCAAGGAAATCAAATGATCCCATAATGATTTCTGGTAGTCATAACATTAGCAGTACTAATTTCATTTTAGAAATGGTGACTTCTGTGGGTTTTTTTTTCCCTAGCATTTGTCTAACAAATGATAAAGTAATTACTCATGGCCCTCTCTGCCATCATTGTCTTTAATTTTTCACAGTGAAATTAGACCCTTTTACATCACTATTGCACCATTGCAAATTAAGTTTAAAAAATAGCAAAACTGTCCACACCAGTAGACAATATGCTTCTCTACCTATAAGTGACATAATCATAGCTTCTTCACTTGCTGTGGAGTTTTCAAGAAGATGATCGGCATCAGTTTTCATCTTGTCCAAAAAGCGCTGGTGGCCTTTTGTGGTGATGTTAACAATCCTCTGGGGACTTAGGAGGATGTCGATGCAACTTTGTAGCAGATTTAATTTCAAGAACAATTCAGAATCATGCAAGGCAGCCATAGTGCCCCTCAGCCCCAGTTGGTCAAACCCCAGCGACCTTTGCCCCTGGTTGCCAAGGGCTTGCAACATGAAGCAGGGAAATAAGGATCTGTTTAGTGGATACCGTGTATCCTGTAATAGACCAGGTAACCGTTCGTGTTAGTTTAGACTATTGTTTTGTACTGTACTTTCTTGGGTGGCAGAGGAAAGAAAAGTTAAAACAAAAAAAAACTGCGTTCTTTAATTCTGTATTATTAGCAACCTCTGTTGTATATAGTGTTTGATAATAAAGTATTAATTTGATTCTTATGTCTTTTGTAAGTAGAACAATAGACTTTCAGGATACAAAAACATGCATAGAGGTTTTGAGACATCCAATGTGTTCATGGCTGAGAAAAGTCACAAATGGTTGAGCCACTTCTGCATACTGAATTCATATGTGGTCATTGCCCATCCAGTCTTAAGGCTCCATCATCTTGAGACCTGGGGCAACATGACTTTTTGATCAATATTTTGTCCTTAGTGTTGTCCAGGTCTGATGTTGGAGCCCTGTGGTCCTTCCCACTATCCCCAAGCATGTGGTTTGAAATATTGTAGAGAATTTAGTAACGGTTCTGTACTTTGGTTTTCTGTGTTTCATTCCCCCCCCACCTCCCCAGAAAGAGTCTTGTCAGTATAGAGTGCAGCTCAGGCACAGGGAAGGTTGCAAACCAATCCCTTAGGAAGGCTAAAAGTTGACTGTTTCCTTCTCTGTTTAGTTGTAAAAGGAGGAGCCACAGTATCTATGGGTTTTCAGGAACTCTGTTTATCTCTGGTGCCTTAGCAACGGCTGCAGCCATTTTTCTTAGTTCCAAAAATAAAGAAAAATTAAACAAAGTTTTAAACTACTAACTGCTCTCAGAGATGTGGTCTCTAGCTTTCTTTGAAAACCACCTCCACCACCACCTCTGTTGCTTACACTCCCACCCTTTAACTTTTTATATTGTTGGGTTTGTTTTTTTTTTAATCTCTCTTGCCTTCCTCCTACATTTTCATTTCCCTCAGAGCCGTGAATAGGCAGGTCTATCTCTGGTTTGGCATCGCTGAGTTTTTCCCATGCATTTGCTCCAGAGCTGCTCAGATGTGAGACAAATCTCCCTACAATGGGCTTGCTCCCATTGTCTGTACAGTTTAATAGATGCTGGCATGTTGGAGGTTACCCATGAGTCAAAATCCGCTTTCCATGCTTACTCTTGACACCCCATTAAAGCCACTCATTGTGTGTGCGTCTGGGTGTGAAGTCCAGCTCCGTGTGATCCTGTGCTTGTACTGCCCTGCTTACAGCTCCTTTGCACTTAATCATTGAGTGCTGTTTTGAATTGCTGACATTATATAAACGTAATAGAAAATGTAAAAAAAAAAAACCACACACAAACCCATATGATCTGTATTTGTATATACACATGTCCGTACAAGTATACCTAAATAAAAAATTAAAGATTTTCATCATTTTAATTGGATCCCTCTTTCTAGTTCTTTGTTCTTTGGATGATACCTTTATTTCAGGGTCTACTTGTACTCTGCTAATTTTTCCAAATCTTTGTGGGCAGAAAAGATAGTACAATATGCACAAAAGAAGGTCTGGGAAGCTCAAACAATGCATTTATTCTAATGAGGGAGAGGTGACATTGCAGCTTTGTCTATGTCTGTGAGCCTTTAAAAAGGCACCATGACAAGACCTGAATTCTAAAACAAATACAACAGTAGCCGCAATTACATCAGGAAAAATTCCAAATAAGTATTTTCCTAGCAAACATCTTACACAGTTGTAATAATCACGTCATTATAACCCCAAACTTCAATTCTCAGTAGCAAAGAATTGACTTTACCGTTATGTGACCCTAGATAACTCACATAGTATTTCTAGGACTCACTTGCAAATCACAGAGTTGTGGAAGTGGTTTTGTTGTTGTTGTTGTTGTTGTTGTTTTATTGTTGTTGATTATCTAAATTCTGCCCTTACCAAACACTGCAAAGCCCACTTTGCATACAAGAAATGTGTGATTTTTTTTTTTTACTTCAATGATGCAAAAATCTAAGAATTTCAACTGAAAAAGGAGACAAACCTCAAATACCTGACAGACACCTAAATGCATTTCAAGACTTGGCTTTAATTATACCACGTTCATATTGAACTCATTGAGAGCTTTTTATTATGCTTAATTATTTGACAGGTCACTAAACCCTAATTACTTCTTATCATGACTGTTTTTTAGTAATGAAAAATGACAGTTTTGTAGAATGAGAAACAACTCACATTCAAAAACAAACAAAAAGCACTGGGCTATGTGGTTTTCTAACCAGAACAGCATCACATCACCACCATCATCATCTTCACCATCATCATCAAAAGAATTCGAGTGATCATGACATTGTGCTCTGTTAGTGCCAGACAGAATGATTTTTACACCTGTTTACAACATGAGGCAGACATGATGTGTAAGCATATCAGTAATGAGTTTTAGAGAACAGTATAAAATACAAGTATATATACTATGCATAAATAATATGGGAGATTCCTTTAAAAAATAAAAGTGAGTAAAAAAATATTTGCAATCTTCAGATTAGGAAACTTGAGTTAAGGGAAATCACCCCTAAAAGTAGTCAAAATGAGATTAGGAGCTCTTTTTGAAAAATAACAACTCAGAGGCAAGTTAAAGAAAATAAACTGCATAGGGTAGATGTTCATAGCAGCTACTGTGGTGACAGTGAAAATGAGAAAGTACAAGACAAAATATGAGTGTCACTGAAACAAATCTTGGAGATATTGGTACAGAGAAATTACCATTTCTCCTCCTAAGGAAGTAAGGGAAGTGGGGGGAGAGGAGTGTGGGGAGGGATGACTATTTCAGGTTGTACTTTACAGAATAATCAAATAGCTGTTTCTGCTGCCCAGACTGTATCTACACTAAATTGTGACATGTTTAGGATTTCAGCGAAGGCAAAGTTTACACACACAGAGATTAAGGAAATGGGATAAAATACAAAATGCACAAAACTGAGGCATAAGATAGCTTGATAATGGCTGTGAGTTCCTGATTAAGAGGCATTCTGAATAAGTAGTATGGTAACTGAAAAGCAAGCTGGATCAGAGATGAGACCATGAGCAAACATGGGCATGATCCACACACACAAAGCATTTGGTATTGTTGGGATATTTGAAGGGTGGTATACAAAGATTCATAAGGCAAATTTCAGAGTCTAGATTTTTATGTACTTGGTGTAGTCACACCAAGTATATATATATAACACATGTATTTGGATTCATTTCTTATAGAAATAATAATAATAGAAATAATCATAGGAGAATCTAGGTATCATAAAAATTAAAAATGTAATTTTCAGTAATTGTTTAGTAAAAGCCATTGGGTTTTTGTTCATTTGTTTGTTTAGTAAAACCATTGAAACAGTTTCTTAGAACTGTTTTCAAAAGCAGTGTCTAGCTGTTTGCAGAGCTTAGTTTCATATCTTGCTAATGATGTAACTATCCTCTGGCAAAGCACTGGCAAAAATGTTGTGGGTAACATCACAGCTTTGCTGTAGGAAAATAAATACTTCTGAAAGTCATAAATAACTATCATGCCAATATTTTTAGTGCAATACATCACACTTTGCTAAGCTATACATTAGTTAAATACATTGGTGTGCTTATTTTTAAGTGAAATTGTACTGTCCAACCTTGAAAGCAGTAAATTTGCATCAATTTTTTGTCATTTAAATATCATAGGACTAAATAAATGCAAAGGAGTTTTTAAGATGGCAAGAAATTTTATGACCAAAGAAACCATAATCAAGGTATCACCAAAGGTTTAGTTGGTTTGGAGAAAAGATGATTAGCCAAGCCAGTCTTTCATAAACCTAATACCTAATTAAAACAGGAGTTTGAGCTGGGTGCTGGTGGCACATGCCTGTAATCCCAGCTACTGAGGAGACTGAGCTCTGAAGATCAAGGTCAAAGCAAGCCCGGGCAGGAAAGCCCATGAGACTCTTACCTCCAATAAGCCACCAGAAAAGCCAGAAGTGGCACTGTGGTTCAAGTAGTAGGGTGCTTGCCTTGAGCTGAAAAGCCCAGGGACAGTGCCCAGTTCCAGAGTTCAAGCCCCACGTCTGACAAAAAACAACAACAACAAACCACCCAGGAGTTTGCTGTACAAATACAGTTTCCAGGTAGGTCTGGCCTCCTTTTTAAACAGAATGTCATTCCTAAGCCATGCTAGGTAGAATTTTATGCAGCTATCTCTTACAACTGGAGAGAAGAAAAGAGACTATAAGCCTCATGTTCAACCTATCCCAGCATAGTGACCCTTTTAATGATATTCAGCAGAGATTGTCATTGTCCTCTCAATGGTCTCTGTACATGCTGAGAGGAAAGCTTGGTTTCACTATTTAATATCTCTTCCGAAGTGTCCCTAGTTCTGTCATCTCACTGCTCTGCCAGTGATGGTATTAATTGGCATCCACATTGAAAGATGATGAGCAAGATGGTAACACCCACTTCAGTCAAAAATAAAACAAAACTAAGAATCCTTCTTGCTTAGTGCTGTCTGTGTTTTTTTTTTTTTTTTTTTTTTTTTTTTTTTTTTTGCATTCAGAGTTTAATTTCTAAACCTGGAGTTTTCTGTAACATTAATGGGAGAAAACTCCAAAGCTATACAACCTGTATCATAACAGCTCTGTAACAAAGATGCTCTCAGCATTGCTGAGGCTGGGAAGTGGGCGGGCATGACCTTTTGGGTTAAAAGCCCTGCTTCACTGAAGCTGTCAGTCAATGTTAATTCAGAAGAATTCAATCTAGTGGGTGGCTCTCTGAGTCAATAATGTACATTGAAATATCCTAGATTTTAGTCAAGATTATTCAAGCAAGAACTCCATGTCACTTGATAACACATGGATGCTTGTCAATCTGGACAAGAACACAAAAGGAAAGACACCCTCCCCCCCAAAAATCTCAGAAAGATGACAATAGGAAAATATAACATTATATTTTTGCCTGCTGTTTTGTTCCCAAATGCCAGGTGTTCATTCAAACTTCACATATGATTTGAAGTGTAGGTAGCCAAAGTCATTTCTTTCCTTCACAACCATGAAACAAACAGATCCCTAAAATAAAAGAACAAATTCCTAGAAAATGTATGTTGTCACCACTCTGGTAGCCTCTCCTTTTTGTGTTCAGACAGAGCTTGTTTTGGGGACAAACTCCCTATCCCATTTGTAAACAAAAAAAACCAAACTTGTATCTCAGAGTATGACAAGCAACTCCTCTG